GTTGGTGTTTGTTTTTTGTTTTTTTTTTTCCTTTTTTTCCCCCCCCCCCCTCTTTCCCACCCTCCTCTGGACTGCGTCCGCACGCCTATCTCAAAGAAGAGCCTAATCGGGGTGGCTTTATTAAAATCCACGCGGCTAATTAATTGTCCGTGGGCGAGGAAGGTTTGCTGGCGTGCAACTTGTTCGCTCGGTGCGCGGCGGCTGGGCGAGAAGAGGATGTTTTAGCGGGGATCGCTAAGGAAAGGTTGGGATTCATGTCGGGGAGGACGCGCAGCCCTCTCAGTCGTGTCCTTTTAAAAGAGGCAGCGGCTGGTAGTCATTTTAGCAGGTGGACTTCCCAGCCCTAGGGTTTTCCTTTCCCCCCCCCTCTTTTTTTTTCGGGGGGGGGGAGGTTAGGTATTTATCGCTTAGGTCTTTTGCCCTCATTGATTTGCTTGAAGATCTTTTCCCTCCCTCCCCCCTCCCCTTTTGTCTTTTCAAGTATTGTGCTGAAATATCTCCCATGAAATGCTGTGTGTGTCCTGCATGCCAAGTTCAAGGCAGGTGACTACTTTGGTGTCATGTCACACTTATAAAAGGGGGGGAGGAAGGAGGCGAGTTTCGATACTTGCTGGCCGAGGAGCGATTTCTTCCTTAGGTGTTCGGCAAGCTCGCGTGAGACGCGGAGAATTCGAAAGACGAAAATAAACTCGCTTGATGGGAATGACAAATTATTATTTTAACATTGTAGGAGAGTCTTGAGCACTGCATGCGTTACTTCTTAGAAACTAGAGGGATAGCAACTGGTCAGACACGTCCCAAATCTACTGGAGTGCTTATAAGCACAAATGTTGACAAACCTATTGGGGGGGGGGTTACATTCCTAAAAAGAATAGGTTTGGTTTGGAGGGTGTTTTTTATTTTTTTTTTCGTTTTTTTCTTATTTGTTTGTTTGCTTGCTTGTTTGTTTTGGGTTTTTTTTTTGCATCAGATGTTCTCCTGAATCACCTTCAATGCAGACTTTGTGCAGCGTTGGGCTGGAGCAGGGGGAAATGTGTGGAAAAGCAAAAGTGAAATTGAAGATTTGGTTTTGTTTTCGTCATGATCGGACTGTAATAAGAACAGCGCGCGCTCTCAAAAATGTATTGGTATTTTGCAAGTGCTCCGTTGCCACTTGTAACGGTATAGTTACCTTGTTATAAAAGGGAAATTGGTTGGAATTGTGTTAGTAAATTATTAGTAATTTATATTTTTCTGGGGTTTCTATTTGGCTGTAGAAATTTAAATAGAAAAGCAGACCAAAAGCAAATCCTGGAGAGCAAATGTGGGTTTTGTACTTTGAGAATGGAGAAGATAAAAATGACATTTTAGCAGAGTCTGCTCTTGCATAGTTTTTTTCCTGCCGTGGTTGATTATAAAGATAATTATGTATAAATAGTTGTTGCTTGTAATTGGCCTTTGCCTCTTGCTGGAGTCATTTAGTAATGTCACAGTTTAGTGTTTACTGTTGTGAAATTGAGATGGATTTCACAGCCCCTGGACTGTGACATCTGAGGCAGAAGAGGGAAACCAAAGAGAAAACAGTATGCTGGGTTTGTTTATTTGTAACACACGGTCTGCTACTGATGTGTGTGAATACAGTGCTTGTTCTGTCCCCCAAAACTTCATGACACCTTATCAACACGGTGAAATTATTTTAACTACGATATACAAAGGAAATCCATTGCTTCAGTAAAATGTAGCTAACTCTGGGATGAAATGGGGTGACTTTAAGATAGCAGTTACAGATCAGAAAATAAGGGTGTTGTGACCTGCTGGATATACAGAGGGAAATGTTAGAGAAGAAACCACACATAAGCAATGCATCTAAGCACCGAGAATCTGTTAGTCGTTTAGTACCTAGCTTCCACATACTCACTTCTACCAGATCTTGGAAGTCCTTACTGAGGATGAAAAGGTAGAGAAAAGCTAGTGATCATTCAATGTGGTGTGCATAAATTCTGTAATTTTTAGTCTTACAAAAGGGGCTTATACTTTCTTGATGTTGTGTCTCAACCTTCACCTTGGCCCTTTCTGCACCGGGCAGCCTATGGATTTCACTTGCCCTCTGTGCTCCATGCAGCACTGAAGCCCCAACTTTATCTTTTGGGCTAGCCCCTCGTTGCTGTCCTCTTTTTTTTTCCATACACAACGATGTTGCTTTCCAGGCCCTTTTATTTCTTTTGCGTTGCTGCGTTATACTTGACTCTGGTTTTCTTCTTGGGCTGTTCTTCCTCCCCACTCTTATATCAACGAGACAGTCATGCCGTACAAATAAATAATACGTACCCAGAAAGTTGGACTGCCAGGAGACCTCTACAATTCTGCAGCTGATCGTTTTATCAGAGATGCAGGTGTGTTTCCCATGCGAGCAGAAGCTGCTTACATTGCTCTTCACTTCTGTTGTGCCTTTAAGTGAATCCCTCCAAATGCTCTTCCATGTGTTAATTAATCTCCACCTCGCTTTCTGTGAGGCAGGTAAATATAAAAAGCCAGTTTACAGAGGGAGTAATGGAGATAGTCAGGACCTGGGAGGGCTTAAGCATTAAAGCAGTTAGGTGATGAGGTAGGTAGCTCTTTTAAGACACCGATTATATTGTTCAATCTTGAGTGATTTGCCTAAGGACAAAGTGTGTGCCAGTAGCAGAGTCAGACTCCAGGAGCACTGCTTTCAGATATTTTTTTCTTATAATTGCTATTCCCCATGTACATGTGTGTAAACAAAGCTTTGTTTTTTACTGAACACGTATGTGCCTGTGTGTACAACGGGGTCCTTCCATCAACGTTTGCTTTTATTGGAAATGGAAAGTCAGAGATTTGTTTTTTTTTGGGGGGGGTATTGTGTAATATCTCTGAATGCAAGATGCTAATGTTTATTTTTAGGGTCATTATGGACATCAGTTTCTATAGGTAAATATCCTAAGATGTGCTTGATCCTACTTTCTTCAGACTTCAGTGGCTAATGATAGCAAGATAAGTCAGCGCAGCTGAGAGATGCAGCCCTAATATATGTTGCTGAGTTTCTTATTGAGGTGAAGTTTCAAAGTTTCCCTTGGTCTCTAGGAAGGTGAAGTTTTCATTATAAATCTGCTTTCCATTTGTAAAGCAAGAAGCCAGATAATTGTCATCTGGTGGGATAATTTGCTGTGAAAATGAACGTGGTAATTTAGGGCAAGCATAGCTATTCCCTAAAAATCTGTGAAATATTTCAGCGAAGTCTCTCCGGTGTGAGCAAAGTTTTTTTAGGAGGTGCTGATACAGAGCACGTTTTCTGTGGTTAATTTGAAGTACATGAAATAAACTGCAGATATATTGATAAATTATGTAGTAAAACTGTAGCAATGTGTTCAGTGTTCATTTTTTCCAGATCACTTGAGTTCTAATTTTTTTTATCGTTTTTCATTCCAGATTACCATCATGAGATATATAAGATCTCTGACTACAGCAATGATGTTAATGGGGAGACCAAAGAAACACAAGCAGTTTTTTTAGGTATGTTCTTGTGTTGATTAATTTCCGAGCAACATAGCGTGGCCATTTGCAATTAGAGAGGAAAAAAATCTCTGTGCAAGCACAGGAAGTGCCTGCCATTGTTTAATATGACGTTCTTTTCAAGACCCTTTTATTCTATGAATTGCCAATATATCCTTTATTAACACTGCTAAAAGTTGTAATTTCAGACATAAATGTTTATTAGTGTCTACACACAGTGCTAATTATCACTCACTGAGAGAGCCAGATGCTGACTGTGCAGTTTTGCAGCTCTGTGCTCACCCCATTTACATTGCATCTTCGCTGGCATGCTTCACTGGCAATAGTTTGTGTAATTGGGGTATTACATCTTTGACATCTGGATAACAGAAATTCAATTTCCAGGAAGCTGCTATTTGTTTGGTTTTGCTTCTGCCTTGGGTGGGATAGAGGATTAATGTGCTGTCTTAATGTAATGTCCTTTCACCTCCGTAGCCTGCCTGCTAATCCTGCTGTGGCAAAATTAAATTAAATCAACAGTTAAAAATGTGTAAAGAAAACAGGGAAATAATATATCCTTTGCAGCATGATATACTGCAGCATGATTGGACTGGTTATCAGTGAACCTTTTATCTTTCCTGTCTGTGTGCTCGTTGGCCTGTGCAACTCTTCTGCTGTAGACTGCTTCTTCCTTTCCTGCTTCTAGTCCCACTCCTGTCACGTGTCGGACGTCATCCAGGTGCTGAGCCTCTTCGCAAAGGGACAGGGGGCAAGTTCCAGAGAAATAAGGGCCCGATTTTGTCCTACTACTGTGATTCTTACCCTGTCAAGCAAGCTCTTGGTCACCTTGCTCAGGCTTTTGAGAAAGCAGGTGCCTTTGTGGCAAGAAAATTGGGTCACTCAAGGGAGGCATCTGCCTCTCCTTAACTGCACTAAGAGTGTAAGCACTTTTATAGGGTGATTTCAGGTTTCTGTGTTCTGTGTGTGAGCCCCCTAGAGCCAGTTATAAGCACTAGTCCCGAGTGCACGAATCAGCACCTGAAGCTGGGCTGCCCACAAAATACTTTTATCTCCTTAATTCATAGTGCTAGATCCTCTTTTAGAGGTGGGCAACAAATGGAAGAGGAAAGAGAACTTTTCGGACTGTTTGAAGTATTTACACAGCTCTCGCCCTGTGTTAAGTTCACTGCTCATCTTCTCACCAATAGGATTTTGAGCAAATATTTCTTCACTACACCCATTTTCCGGGAGAAACGAAGGGGGCTGCTATGCTTTCTGTTTGAATTCTGTGTTTTGTGAGCGCTCTTGGTGTAGTCTGAGTTTGAGTGCTTTGTCTTCCAACTATAAAATAATGATGAAGCTTTGGCAGGAGCTAGGCATTAATCTGGCTGCTTAAGCCAGGATGCTTCTAAGAATGTGCAGGAGTCCGTGCTGTGACATCTGTGCCATGGGTCAGAACAATTGATTTTGGTTTGATTCACTTGGGTTTTTTTGTGTCTTTTTGAGTGTGCTGAGCTTTGGGTTGTGATTGAAAGTTCCCTGACATTTAGGTGCCTAAAGTCCAGCTGTATCAGAAGTTAGTCTGAATTTAGTCCTTAATAATCTGAATCCCATCAAGGGATTTCCTTATCAGGTATCAAGAAAGTAAACGTCACTCCTGTCTTCAGGAAGGGCAAGAAGGGAAGATCTGGGGAACTACAAGCTGATCAGCCTCACCTCAATCCGTGGGAAGGTGATGGAGCAACTGATCCTGGAAAACATTTGCAGACATGTGAAGGACAAGAAGGTGATCGAGAGTAGTCAGCATAGATTCGCAAAGGGGAAATCATGCTTAACCAACGGGATAGTCTTCTATGATGACTGGCTTGGTGGATAAGTGAAGAGCAGTGGATGTTGTTTATCAGGCTTCTGATACCGTCTCCCATAATATCCTCATAGACAAGCTGATGAAGTACAGGCTAGATAAGTGGACAGAGGTGGATTGAAAACTGCTTAAACAATCGGGCTCAGAGCACTGTGGTCAGCGGCATGAAGTACAGCTGGAGACCAGTTACTAGCGGTGTACCCCAGAGGTCAATAATGAGTCCAATAGCTGTTTAAACTCTTCATTAATGACCTGAATGATGGGATCTTGTGCTCCCTCAACAAGTTTACAGATGATGCAAAACTGGGAGGAGTGGCTGATACAACAGATGGTTGCGCTACTCTTCCTCAACAGGCTGGAGAAATGCTCTAGTTGTTGGTTTAGATTAAAGTTTGTTCTCTGTTTCATATTTTTTAATTGATCATGCAATGACTGCAGCTGTTGAAACCTCCATGTAATGCAGCCTTTAGAGTGTGAGTGGAAGATACTTCATTTAAACTATTTCTGCTAGAGAAGACAAAATGTTCATGCTGTTATACAGAACAGGTGACGCTGTATCTGGAATACGATGTGCATATATTTTGGTTACACAGTCAAGAGTGAGGACCTCAGACTGGAGGAGATGCAGTGGTGAGAAGAGGGATAAACAAGTAAATGAGAAGAGTTCAGTTTGTTTAATGTACAAATAAATTAAGGGTCAAATGTCAGGAAAGGAGACCTGTTGAACCTGGAGAGCAATTTTGGCGCCACTGCAAATGAGCAAAATGTGGCTTTGTGTAAGCGCAGATTGGAAAGTAGAAGAAGCTTCACCACAGTTAGAGGAATGAAGTACTGGAAGTGACTTCTGTTGATTGTGAGGGTATAAAGCCCAACTACTTTCTAAATGGAGCTTGATAAGCTTTTGAAGTTCGCTTATATAGTCCAGTTGCTGAGTTTGTGGCATAGTAGACATGGTGACTTGTATATCTTCCAGTCCTTTGTTTTGATAAGATGGTAAATGGGAATGGAAGTCTTTCTGCACAGAGGATACACTGAACGCAGCCTTGGCAAAATTTGGGGTGAATAGATCACTGCAGTATTTTGCAGGCAGAAACTGGTATCTCTTTAGTTTTGAAGGGTAGGGCTTATTTATTTAATACCAAGAGAGAGTGCTCGACCTGCAAAGGAGGAGGCAGCCTGGAGTGAAGTGTTTAAACCTTGAATACGAACAACGTTTAAGACATACCTGTCTTCAGCTTTTACCGTTTGTCAGCGTAAATGTTCTGTCGCAGATGCTAGCCCAGACTTAGGAATACAAGCCCATGAGGGGACTACGCAGCCAAGGCCCATGGACAACACTGGTTAAAGCTATCTTGTCTTTATAAAATGTCTTTTGCATATACTGCGTTGTTTTTTTTTCAGTCTTAATGTTTTATTATCCTCACAGAAAAGCGGAAATATAATATACTTCCAGACTGAGTGTTTTTACAATGCTTTCAACTTGAAATTCAGGCTCTATATTTGAAAGGTTAATGTAGAAAACTAATTATATTATCCTGGTAACCAAATGTGTGATGAGACATTTGTCTGTGTAATTAACAGTGAAGAACTTTTATAGTTTCATAAAATCGAATGCTATACACAGTATGCTTGGAGCATTTGTTTTGAAGAGATGTCCAAAACAGAGATGTTTATGACTGATATAAAGCGGAACTGAAATGTACTGTAATGCAGGTGTCTGCGCATTTTACAGCAGTTCACATTGTTGAAATGGAAGGCAGCAGATTAATAACTTCGCTATGTCATGATAAAATAAGTAATGCGTTCTTGGAACAGGGGAATGATGCATAAGTTACTCAGTAATTCCAAGAATTTATTCTATCCTAGTCATAGTATACTTTGCAATTTATTCATAAAGAAAAAGTTGACTTAACATAAGTCTGTGAAGTTACTTGTTACTTTTAATAGAATTATATCCCAGGAATGATTGTTTCAATAATCGCTTCTGTAATTAAGACTGCATAAAAGCTTTTTTTATATACGTGCGTTTCCAAATGATCCAGCTGTGTAAAACATTTCCCTTTGGGGCTGAAGTGGACATTCCTTAATTTTGGCCTAGGGTATATGAAAGAAGTGGGGGAAGTTGTTGCATCTTTTTTTTTTTTTAATTATATGATGCCATTACTGTATTTATTTATTGGATAGTTGTTTACTTGCAGTTGCTGGAGTGATTTAGTTGTTGCAGTGTGGCTTGAAAATGTGTAACTTGGGCTTCTGGATCTGATCGTGTTACCTGTTTTTGAAACTGTTCAGAAGAGTTGTTTTGTTGTGGTGGTGGTTGAACTGACTTGTGGTGTGATTCTGCTTCCACTGACACAAAATCCCAAATTCTGAGCCATATAGGGTCTGATCCTGGTTTCAGTTTTGCAAATTGCTTTGCTTGTATTAATGTTCGTGATGTTTATTAACTTTGACGGTCTTGCAGTAGGTGTGGGTATCAATCAACCCGTGTACTTCCGTGCTTTGGTTTTGGGGTAGTGAGTGAGGGGATGTAATTTGAGGGTGGTCCAGCATATCTCAAGGTAGGATCTCTAGTGCTTTGTGCAGTGACATGAAGAAAGGTAAGTGCTTTTAAATGGCATTTTAGAGCACTGGTAAGATTCCCCAAGCAGATATTTAGGGATATTTAAGCTATCTTATTTGAGGTGTGAAATTCCCTGGGTCGTAACTCATGTTGCTTTTGTGCCCCTGTGACATTGTCCATGACCACCGCTCTCCCTATTGACTTGGGTTTTAAGTTTTTAATTTGTGAAGCGTGATGTTGCCTGTGTTACTTGTTAAACGTAGGTTCTTCTGTGCCAGCAAAGACCAGGCATCTCTTGAGAAACGTGTGCTTATCCTATCAGTTTAGCTACACAGATGCCCAATTCAAATTAGCTACAGAGCAGTCACAACAACTTGCCGTTTGATTTCGGAAACCTCTCCTCTGATAGAGAAACATGCACGTGGTTCCCCGTGCTGACCTTCACAATCCTCTGCCGTACGGTGGTTCTGAGACAGAAAATACAGGCAAAAATGGCTGAGTTTGGAACGTTATGATTTGATGTGCTTATAACTTCTGCTGAGAAGGGATGCCTAACACTCTTCTTGGATAGCTATCCTTTGTTCTTTAAGCAAGTATCTGAATGTCGTGTGACAGTCGCCGAGGTGTTTTGGTCAGGCAGTGCACTGAAGAAGTGTGCCGTGCATGCACGTGCCTCCCCGATTCCCTGAAGTGCTCTGACTTAGCCCTTGCAAATTCTTCAGATACAGCAGCTGAATTTCGCTGGCCCTGTTCCAGGAAGGGCAGCATTCAAGCGGTGTCTCATAGACTGGCGTTTAATGTTTGATGATATAACCTGCACGTTCTGTTGCAGCTTCTCTTGAGCCGGCAAAACCCTCAAACCGTATGCATTTACTTTTTCTCACTTCTTAAGCTTTGTTTCTTTGCAGACCAGGCTGATGATGTCACATCGTGTGTGTTTGTCTAGCTGTCTGTTGCTGCGGTTCCCACCCTCTTGATAACTCCTGAACTTGCTCACCAGTTTCAGCCTAGTTTGACACGAAGGTAGAAATCCGTGAGAGAGAAACTTCCTTCAGGAGGCAGCCTGGTAGAGGATGAAGGCCTATTTGTGTAGCCCAGAAAGGAAAAGTTTCCTTAGAAGTCGCATCTAACAAGGCGCAACAGAACCCAGAGCGAGACACTAATTCATAGACGATCAGACTTCATAAGAAGTCAGCTCACTCGTGCATGTTTCTCATAGGTGTTTAAAATCAGGAAATTAACTGGGAAATAATGGGCCAAGATAACAGTAAGGCTATTTGTTTATGCAAAGCAAAGGAAGAAAATGCCAAATATGGTTGACTCATTATCCAACCATAACTCTATTCACTCATATATGCACTGCTCAACATATGCATTAATTACATATTTGATTGTCACTTATTTAATATTGCAATAGTTACATTTTTAACCTAAGAACGTGGATGTATCGTATACTTTTAGAGTTCTTTGTAGCATTATGATAATATTTTGACGATTAAATTACTTGGAGAAGTACATGGTTTGTAGGCAGTGTGCTATATTGACGTTAAGTTTAATAACCGTAAGAGTGAAAAGATGTTGATGCATCAGGGGGCTACAATTTGAATTACTGACTTATCAATGATATTTCATTAACCAAAGTAGCTAATGCAAGTTCTCTTACTTCATACAGTTGCACACTTAGCACCTGGATGCTAATTCTTATTAGGGCAGTGACATTTTTAATTTTTAACATTTTTATAACTTTCAGAGCAGTAAGTTATAATGTTATACACATAATTTCAGTAAGGAAAGAGTTTAAAATTCATTTTGGAGGATTTTCTTTTTCTGAGCATTTGATGCAGTATTTATGAAGGGGTTTTGTTTTGCCTTTTGTTATTGTATAAGATTACAGCCAGGCCTTGTGAAAGATTAGATTCTATATAAGGGACCATCACAGAGACAATTATAATATTAATTTAAAAAAAAATCTGTTAGTATTTTTTTTTAATAACTATTTATCATTATCTCTCACAAAAGTTTCTGAACAGGGCTGCAACTTGGCAGGCTTGTCGTTTTTGAGTAGTACTTTGCAAGTAAGTTCATTGCTTTCAGATAAAACCAAAAGGGATTTTACCAGCAGTCTAAATGGCAAGTCTGACCTGCAGTTTGCTGGTTGGAGGCATTCCCCTTTACTGGGAGCAGTGGGGAATCCTGCTGTGTGTTCAGCATCTATTTCAGGCTTTGCCTGGAAACCGCGTGTTCCTGAAGTAGTGGTGTGAAAGTCCAGGAACGAGGAAGCAATTGTATGTTGAATTCTGGTAGGAAGACTGGGGTGTGTATGCCAAACTCTGCTCCTCTTGGTCCACAGCAGCTATTTTGGGAGACTTTTCAGAGCTATGTAATACCGATTTTTATATAATAAACTTCTTTTCCAGTGCTGTATTGTGCTGTTCAGCATTTGGAAAGGGAGGCTGGCTCTTTCTTACGGCATAGTAGCTTATGCCATTCGCTTTTTCTCCGTGCTCCATCTTCCTTCTTTAGTTTTTAAATTACCTCTTTATTATCTGTTAAAATCAGCAGCAGTAGAAGAGCTGATAGCAAAATGCTATCATAGCTATCATTTGCTGACAGCAAAATAGTGGGCTGTAAAGCTGGTAGCCAAATTAGGCAAGTAGGGAGCAAAAAGCGAGACCTGTTAGTCTTTCAAACTGCCTGCAGATTCAGGCAGAAGGTGTAACATCGAGTTACGTTCCCCTCATGTCAGGCAGACTGCCATTGTAGGTAGGCTGTTACAAATTAAAGGCCTTAAAAATTAGAAAAGGTCCTATGGAGGGGTATAAAAGTGCACTGAAAATTAACCCAAGCCTCTAGCTCATATGTTTGAAGACATTCCTTGCAAGACCGAAGATATATTTTGCAGGTTCAGCAAAAAAAAAAGAAGGAATCTCTCTGTTGTAAGGAGGGAGCTACTTGGACACAAAGATGTGCTTGTAGAGGACTCGCTGCAAGCTCCGGGGCCATTGTGATATAACGTCATATTTTATATTTGGAGAACAGTACGCCCATGCCAATATACAGAACGATCTCTGTACGGAGGAACAAGGGACCAGAATCAAGCTTGAATAAACTCAGTTAACTTTAATATTTTATGCAACTGGGTAAGGGAAATTCAATCTTTTAACCAGTCTCACCTGACCAGCAATGTCGTGTGCAGCCACTAAACCCGATAGGAGGAGGCAGACGGGAAGCTTTGTTCATATTCATAATAATACTGCTGTTACATACAAATATGAATTGTTAACATAAAACTGTGAGTGCCCAGCGTACTGCTGAACGCTGTACTGATGAGGGACTGTTTCATGGGGTTTTTTTGTACCGTGGGACTGTTTGGAGCTCAGATACGGGGCAAGAACCTTCTTGTCAGATACTACCCTGTAGAGCAAAAAAGTAATCTTTGTGCCAGAGAGTTTACAGATCTGCAAATCTCAGTAATCTCAGTTCAGCGGTATTCTGAGGACTGTCGATTCCCATCGAGGGTGGGAATTGCAAACACTCGACAGCTCATTGGACTGAGTCTGAAAAGCATAATTTTAAAATGAAAGGAGTTGGAGCTGCGGTTCGTTGATTAACACCCCTCTACATACACCCACACCCACAAATCTTCAGAAGAAACGGCAAAATAAATATAACATAAAACTCCTCCTTGCAAATGGCTTTTCTGGCTGCTTTAGCTAGAGTGGAAACAGCATTCTAGTATCGTCGGACTGGGTTGACAAATATTTCCCAAGTTTGGCCTGGAAGCTTTCTCGCAAGCCGCCCGCTCTGCACTGGGTTGGAGCGGGCCGGAGCCAGCTGGCGCTCCCCCAAAGGGAAGCGGAGCTGGCCGAGGCCACCGGTGCGCCGGGTCAGACGGGAGACGCGCTGATCCAGCCCAGGCCTGCTCGCGTCTCACAGCTTGTCTCCCTTGTTGCCCGTCTGCCTTCTGGAGCAAAGCATCCTTGCGGTACCGTGGGTCCCTGGGTGTCCCAGGCACGTTGGACTTGGCCTGTGTTGTGTGTTGAGGGGCCGCGGGGACTGCTGCTTTTTGAACTGTATGGTTTTAGCCAGCTATCTAAGCACGTGCTGAAGTCGGCGGCACCGTTCGTGTGCCTAAAATTGCTAAAGCTGTTTGCAAGCCCTGCTGTTGGGCGCACTTTTGAAAACCCAACAGGTGATGGCTCTGGTTCAACAAGGTATTGTTGTGTTTTGTTTTCTGAAATTTCACGTGTTTTCCCAAAAATAAACCTATATTTTGGGAAGTGAAACTGTAAATTCATTAGAGAATACCAAGTATTGTTCTATTAAGTATATTATAAAAGGAGGCTGATTCATCAGTTCCTTGATTTTCATTATTCCATTTGTTGAGGATGTTTCATTTTTCTATTGCCAGTAAAAAATAGAAGCTTCCTATTTCAGAAGTGGTTATGAACACTTCCTTATTACTAGTGAAATGTAGTGCATGCTTTAACGAGCAAAATAGCTACTATCTGCCCAAAACATATATATTCATTGTGCGATCAGCAGTTTCATACATAAAATTAATATTTAAATGGTGCCAGGAGTATTAAAGTATGTAATCATTATTATTTAAATGTGCTGAATTTATTTGAAACGGTCACATTTTTCTTGTATATATTTTCTTTTTGCTTTCATAATCTACCCTTTAAAGAAATCTAGCAGTTAGGCTAGATACAGTTATACATGTATTAGCTGCTTTTTAATTCATTCCTGTATAATCCAGTATTATTAAGTTCTGCAGAGTGAGGAACTGATCTTCTTCCATTAGAATCGGTAGATGCTGTGTTACTGTGTGTGTGGTGTTTTTTGTGGGGTTTGAGGGTTTTTTCTTTTGAGGGTTTTCTTTTTTTATGGATATGTATGTATCCTTAAGCATATGGCAAGCTGATATATAAAGGGTCTGATCCTTCAGGCTTTACTTAGAAAACAACCACTGATGTCAGTGCCTGAAGAGGATCAGTCTTTTAAAAGGGTGGCTTATTTGAAACTAGTCTAGCTATTATTATTTCCTTCTGGAGAAAAATAATCTTACTCATCAAAGCTTTAGAACAAGCATTAAGAAAGCAGAGTTCAGCAGGTCTTTTAACCATGAGAGATCTCAACCATTGCTGTGTTAAAGCATAGCCTAGTACATACTAACTGCCACTCAACCATGTCTTTCCTTTCTCTTCTTTCTTTCTTTATTTCCTATTTCAACAGCTAGAAACTCTTATTGGCATCTAAAATCACTAATCTCTACCCATTACCATTTTTTGCTAATTTACAGTGATAACTGTGGCTCTGTTTTCATTAGGAGATGAAAGCCGGGAAATTAAAAAACAAATTACAGGGATGAGAAGATTACTGAATGACAGCACTGGAAGAATCTATCAGCGAGTTGGCAAAGAAGGAGAGAAACTGAAGGAGGAGCCCCAGGATTTAGACTTAGCCTGGGCCCAGCGCCTGAATCCCCCTGCAGAGTCCCAGACAAGCCTTCATCCTTCACAGAGTGGTGCATGGAATGAATTATCACCCCAGGCTAGCCATTTTTCAGGGCAATATGGAACTCGGTCTAAAACGTTCCAAAATCAGACACGAACCGTGACATCCAATGGTATGATCTACATTAGATACTGAGAATAGTACTTTCTTTTTCTTGTACTGTACTGAATTTCTGCCTTTGTTCCGATGATTTATTGTACCACTGCACTGAAACCAGTTATAGTTCAGAGTCTACAAAATGAGCACATAGTTATCACTTTGAAAAGGTGCGAAAGTGGGCACAGTGCGTTCTGCTACCATCTGTCTTAGGTTTTACAATGGGTTCCTGGTGAGAGGACAGAATTACTCAATTCTGTTATATAGACTTAATTTCTGTATAGAACTTATTAAAACAGCTTTTGCCGTTGTTGTTAAATTCACAGCTAATTAAATGTCAACTGCTACCACTTCTCTTTGCGTTGAGTAACATAGTACTGTTGTGACACCGCTTGTGGAGCAGGATTCTGCTGACTTTCATGAGGTGATAGGATCAGGCTTATAACTGACTTCTTAACTTCAGGTACAAAATCCAAGTGTTGCCCTAGGCTTTTATTCTGATGGGACCACTGGAGAAAAGATGTGATGGAATCCAGTTATGAGTAAGATGTACTAGAGGATAGTCCATCTTGTCCTAGTGAAGAATTCTACTCTAAAATAGACGGTAGCATGTCTTTAAGTGTTTTCCCTCTATTATTTTAAGTAGCAAAGAATGGAAATTTTACTGCTGGTCTTCTGAAGGTCTTCCTTAACATTCTAAATTCAATTCAGAAAGCGCTTCCCCCGATATTCAATTCTAAACTTCAAGGGTTGTGAGTTTTTTGTTTGTTTGTTTGTTTGTTTATGATTAGAAGGGTATCTCAGTTCTAACAATTTGAAAATCACAAGTTTTGAGACTGCATCTGAAAATATTATCAATTTCCAAGTGGCTCCAAAGGTATTCGTGCTTTCTGTATAGGGATGCTGCTGTGTGTTCTTACCAAAAAGCACACGTCTTCATTGCTGTTATTATCCCCTATGCTGTACAAGAGGAAGTACAACCC